AAGAGCAACTTGAGAAAAGAAGCACCACACAGAGTCCATATGGGTAGCAAAAATGGCAGGCAAGTTCATGCTGCAGAAATGGTGGTGGTGGGGTGGAGGTAGTAGCAGTGGTGGCCATGGTTAATCTCTGGCCAGTTCTGCAGCCTGTAGTTGCCCAGCATCCCTAGACTCTCAGCTTTGAGCTGGTTGTCCCATTAATATCCATATATTGTAATGAACTTTTCTGTTTAATCAGCTAGCACCAATTTCTGGTGCCATACAAACATTGTATTAAAACTCTTATGGGGTTGCATATGAGAACAATGGCTCACTTCTCCAGGCTTACTGTAGTTTCATGTTTAGCCCAGGTATGATGTGCTGGATTATGTTACTTGTACATTTTAATCAGTGGCTTTTAGTTCAAAGTAAGGTTTCATTTCCAAAATATTAATGAAAATGGCATGAGAGACCATGGAATAAGGTGCTTTCAAAATTCTGAATGTAGTTGCCAAATGAGACCATTACAAGAGAAGGCACAATAAGACAAGAAGAATATTTGGTTTTATATTTAGAAGAGAAAGAGGTTCAGGTTAGCAGTACTGGGTTTCTATGTCATTCTCCAGGGGAGACCTCCTTTAGTTTTTGTTTGCAAAATAGGGATAACAAGACCCGTATTATGGGTGTAATGTGTGGATTAAAGGAGGTAACATATGAAAAATATCAGTGAAGGGCCCAAGCCCTGCATTTGTCCATACCAAGCACAGTTTTCTAAATTTTATAGCATATAAAAACATGGACTAGGGAATGTGGGCACATTTTTTTTACTGGAAGGAAAAGTATTAATATAATCAAAGCATGCAAACATCTTCATTGACTATGGGTAACTGATTATTAGGATTTTTCCTTTAATTTTTAAAATATTTTTTATCTTCACCCAAGGACATATTTCCATTCCTTTTAGAGAGAAAAGGAAAGAAAGAAAGAAGCATTCCTTGGTTGCCTCCCATATACACCCAGACGAGGGATCAAGTCCACAACATAGGTACTGTGTGCCCTGACCAGGAATCATGCCCACAACCTTTTGGTTACAGGACAGTGCTCCAACCCACTGAGCCACAATGGCCAGAGAAGGATTTTTTCTTGATCCACTTTTCTCATACTCAAGCTACTGGACCCTTATTTAACTAAAAGAAATTTGTTTCTTTTCCTATATCACACTGTTGACAAAGTAAGCCAATTTACCAAAAAAAAAAAAAATCAATAAATATCTCACATAAAAGGAAGAGATAATTTAAATACAGACTTTAATGTAGGAAGAAATATCTCTGTGTGGTACTCTGTGGTCATAAAGATATTATTCTTAAAAACCTGAACTAACAAGACTAAAAAAGTAATTGGATACATTAACCATTTTGTGTATATGGCGAACAAGTTATCTGCCAAAGGGGAAAAAAATCTATGTTCCAAGGCAATTGTGTACTTACCCAAAGGTTTACGGAGTGATTATTGTGTGGTTGGTACTGTCTCCTGCCAAGAGAGTCCACAAGCAAAACTTTAAATAAAGAAAGTAAAGCTTGCATCAATGACTTCTCTCTTGGCAAATTCCATGTCCTCCGGATAACCAGCACCCTCTGTTGCCTCCCAGATAGGTAGGTGTCACGCTCTAGACTTCTCTCTCCACCTCCTCCTATAAAAACTGATCTCTCTGGTGCATGGAAGGAGGAAATGCTCTCAGCTATCTGTTGGAGGATGTATTTGTTTGCTCAAGCTGCCAAAACAAATATTGACACCACAGATTGGGTGGCTTAAACAACATTCATTTTCTCATACTTCTGGAGCCTGAAAGTCCAAGATCAGGGTTCTAACCAATTCAGTTCATGCTAAGGCCTCTCTTCCTGGCTTGTCTTTCTTTCATGGATATGGAGTGGAAGGGAGTTGGATGGAGAAGTGGGGAAGGCAGAGAGAGAAGAGGGGAAGAGAGGGGGCAAGGAGGAGGGGCAAAGGGAGGAGAAGAGTAGAGGGAGATAGAGGGACGAGAGAGAGGACAAGCCCCACTCTTATGACCTTATCTAACCTTAACTGTTTCCTCAGAGATCTCATCTCCAAGTCCATCTATGCCTGGCGTTAGGGCTTCAACACAGGACTTGGAGGGTGGATAACATTCAGTCTGTAACCAAGGGGACACCGTTAACTCAAACACACCACGTTATGAAAGGAGTTTAACCCTCTTTGCATAAAATGCACTTTTAGGCAGGGAGTAATTGCTTAGCAACCATAGGAAAGAATGTCTAATAATTTAGGGGGATAAGTACACCCTAGACTTGTCTTATGACTCCTAGGTCTACCCTACTCCGCTGGGTATAAGACACATCCTCATCCTAGTTTATAGTTGTTTCTTGTTCCCACTTCTTTAGTGCTGTTCAGGAGTGGGCAGTAAACCAATTCACTAACAGCTGGGCATGCAGTCACACTGTCCAGTTCCCAAAACTTCAGGCCACTAGCCTTTTCTGGACCTGACCCATGCTATGACTTCAAGTCCACAAATAAGAAGGGGGACAGAACCTATGCACCCCAACGTTCATAGCAGCACAATTTTTACAATAGCCAAGTGTTGGAAGCAACCTAAGTGCCCATCAGTAAATGAGTAAATCAAAAAACTGTGGTACATTTACACAATGGAATACTATGCAGCAGAAAGAAAGAAGGAGCTCCTACCCTTCGCAAGAGCATGGATGGAACTAGAGAGCATTATGCTAAGTGAAATAAGCTGGGCAGTGAAAGACAAACACCATATGATCTCATATAAAAATGAAACCTAATCCACAAAACAAACAAGCTAGCAAATTATAACCAGAGACATAGAAATAAAGAACAGACTGACAGTAACCAGTTGGGAGAGAGATAATGGGGAAAAAAGGGGAAGGCTCATCAAGGAACATGTATAAAGGACACATGGACAAAACCAAAGAAGGGTAGGATCGAGGGTGGGAAGTGAGGATAGGTGGGGCAGAGGGAGTGGTGACGGGAAAATAGAGACAGCTGTACTTGAACGACAATTTTTTAAAAAGGGAGATATTGTCATCCCTATTCTGGCAGTTTGCCACACAGCCATATCTGGATTGTTTTCAATTTTCTAAACTGTTGATGCTGGTTAGTGCACACACAGCAAGAGACATACAAGCTTGCATATTCTTAATGTTTAAGGTTGTCTCTGTACATTTACCTGCCTTTTGGGGAATTGACCGCAAAAGTGTCCAAATTAAATTATATATTACAGTGTAGTAGATACAGATGGTATTTAGAAGTCTTAAAGGTCACTGCTTTTTCTTCGAAAACACAGAAAGAGGCAAGATGTATAACATCTTTTTTCTGTCCTAGTCTCATGTAGGAATCTGAGCAGCTACTCTCTCAGCAGATACCTAACCTGAATAACTATTCTGTTTTTAATTTTTATTTATTGATTTTAGAGAGGGGGAAGGGAGGAAGGAAGAGGGAGAGAAAGAGAGAGGAAGAGAGAGAGGGCAGAAAGGAGAGGAGGGGGGAGGGAGAGAGGAGGGAGAGATATCAATTTGTTGTTCCACTTATTCATGCATTTTTTGGTTGATTCTTGTATGAGCCCTGACTGGAGGGGCATTCAACCTGCTGAGCTACCCATCCAGGGCCCAAATTCTTAAAAGTGAACAAAATGTCTTCAGGAACCTTCATTTACCAAAATCTGTGCTACAAGCATTTGTACTCAACAAATTTCAACAATGGATTTTGTGATAATAATACTTGAAACATAAGTTAAGTTTTTCAAAGTATGTAACACTTTCCAGTAACCTGACAACATCCCTGGGAACCATTAGAGTGCTCCCGACACAGAAAGCCTTGCTCAATAATACCTTAATGATTGATTAATTGCAATGTAATCATTTCTAAAAATTGATGCACAGAACATTTCAATGATTTCAGTATGGTTTTTAGGTCCAATTAGTGGCAAAACTGAGACTATAAGCCAAGTTGTCTTCTTTTTTAACTAATAGAAATTTTAAAATACATGAAAGTAATTTAGGATATTAAACCCTATGGTTCCATCATCCAGTTTTAACAATTATCAATATTTTATTTTACCAAACTTATTTCATCTTTCCTCCTCCAACCTTTTTCTTATTGTAGCATTTTAAACAAATCTTAGCTATCATGTCATTTCATCCACAAATACTTTAGTATTTATCTGTAATAAGGTAGTCCTTAGATCCTAACACGTACATGTGGTAGATTAAACAATAGCCAAAGGACTCAGATGTCCAATGAAATATTCTAGTATCCATTTTTCATTTTTCCCTATGTATTTCTCTCCCTCAAAGAGTAATCCAAATCAATTTTAATAAGGCAATAAATAGAAAAGTGAAAAAAACAGTTATCTTGATGTAGAAATATAAAATATCAGCTTTCAAGTTACTTAAAAAATTTCAGTGTATTCCTGTTCTCTCAAAAGCACAAGCAAATTCCTCTTCTATCGTATCTTCCTCCAAGAAAAGCAGGTCCCTGGAAAAAGGCCTGATGTGACAATGCTGTTCTGGGTACTCCAAAAGTCCTGAGGCTACATGAATGCTTTGCACATATATAATTTGCCATGGAAATTGTGGTGGTATTTAATAAAAGATAAATAAAATTCCTGAGTGTCTCATCTTGTTAAATATTACTTTGGTATGTAATTTAACAAAGGTTCTGTGCTATTACTATTTTATGGGCTTATGGAAATTTTAATCCTATTCTAATTTTCATATGAAATTTTAATTTCATACTCATTAAAAGGCAATCCATTCACTGCAGAGGCAAATAACTCACCTCTAGAGTGTCCATGAAGCCTGGAAACAGAGGCAACTATGTATAATAAATGGCTTGTTGATATTACATGACAATATGTAGCATTTGATGTGTTGTCTCTCATTAGTGATGCATAGTTCAGTGTGCTGGGCAGAATGGCGATGAACAGAACACAGCAACACAGCATTTCTAGCAACTGTCGCATGTACCTGTGTGATGCATCGCCTCCGTTCAGTAGCTCTCAGATGAGATCTCCGGAATCAGCAGTATCAGTGATGCCTGGGAATGGTAAAAGTGAGAATTTCAGGGGGCCTATCCCAGACTTACTGCATCAGAAACTGTCTTAACAAATTCTGCAGGTGATTCTCATGCAAGCTAAAGTTTGAGAACCATAGGCTCAGATTATTCGTCTCTGATTTTCACTGAAGAAAAACAAACAAAAACCCTGCACTTTCAACATACCCCAAGCACAGAATTGCCAGACTCAGCAAATAAAAATATAGGAGAACACCAGTTAAATTTGAATTTTGGATTTTAAAAAAGTAAGTTTTTAGTGTAATTATACCCTTTGCAGGTGTGTCCCATGTAATATCCCACTTATGCCAGGGATATCTAAGTATCCTCATGAACACTTATACTAACAAATTATTTGTTGCTTATCTGATACTCTGATTGAACTTTTCATCCAAAATCCTGAGTTTTTCTGGCATCCACACCCAAGGGTGTTCTGGTCTGGCCAGCATTCAGCATACTCCACAGAACTGCACCATCCAATTCAGCTTTAGAAAGTACCCTACAACCCTCTCACCACTCCAGGGTCATGCGACAGTCAGCCTCAAAGGGACCTTCCCTTGCCTGTCAAGAGCATACACTAACTGGTGGTCATATAACATGGGCAAATAAAGCAGAGTCACCTATTTTTTCTAAACTTTGTGGCCACAGTGTAGGGAGAAATACAGTAAGTCCTCACTTAACATCCTCAATGGTTCTTGGAAACTGCAACTTTAAGTAAAATGACATATAACAAAACCTAGTTTACCATAGGCCAATTGATAACAAGAGCTTTAAGTTCCTAAAGCATATTTCTAGTCACAAAAACATTACCAAACCTCTAACTAAAGACCCAGAACACTTCTAATATTAAGCAGTCAAATCAATATGAACTAGACATACATGTAAGAAGAATAAAAACAAGTAATGCAATTATTTTCCTACCTGCTTATTCCAGTTCATGGTCATGGTGGCTGGAGCCTGTCCCAGCAGCTCAGGGTGCAAGGGGAGAACCCAACCTGGAGAGGACACCCGTCAATCCCAGGGCCACCCACCCTCCCTCAGACAGGGACATAAATAAAGCCACCCACCTATTCACCTCATGTGCACATTTTGGGGATGTGGGAGGAACCTGGAGTCCAACAGAAAACCCATGCAGACATGGTCAGAACGTGCAAATAGACAGTGGCCCCAGATGAGCATTTTGGTTTTTCTCATCAACGTTGTAGGGAAACCATATTGACCGAATCACTTTATTCAAGAACTTGCTATATTGTGTCAGCTGAAGACAAAAGCTAAAAAATGCATACCAAATCTCATCTAGGTAACTTTATGAAATGTAAAAAACAATATTTTTCTGTTTCATGCAAGAGTCTTTGTTTATAATACAAATAATTAACTACTGATTAAAACGTTTTTATATCCTTTAGCAGAGCTGAGTGCTGATAGTGGGTCTTCAAGTCAGAAAATTAAAACCAAACAATTCTGAAATCTAAATCTTTCCTGAATTATTTTATGCAGCCATTTCTTTTTCATTTTTGAACTGTCATCCTAGTTCTTTTTAAATTTACATAAAATAAAATGCATAGATTTTAAATACACACTTCAGTGAATTTTGACAAAGACATACCCTGCACCCCATGAAAGTAAAGAACATTTCTTTCATTCTAGAAAAGATCTTCAAGGCCCTTTCTAGTCCACTACCCCCCATCCAGAGGCAATTATTGTTCTGATTTTTATCACTATTGATTAGTTTTGTTTGTTCTAGAACTTCATTGAAATTGCTTTCATTTTCACATATTTGAGATGTTTTGCTATATGGCAGAGGGCTTATATTGTATTTTTATTTATTTATTTCATCTGAACTTGCCTGAAAAGTCCTAAAGGCAGCACCGTATTGCTCTCCCTCAAGGAGAGGGGAGGGTACTGGACATTTATCTGGTCTCAGGGGAGGCATTGGAACCTGAGGAAGTGACTAGAGGGACAAGAAAGGGTGGCTCAGGTCAGGGACCCCTGATGGCCTTCTGCAAGGGGCCCCCAAATCAAGAAGCCCTTGGGCCAGGAGACCCAAGAAGTGATGCCTGTGAGGGGCATGTGGGCGCCGTGTTGGATAGGGAGTGACTCCAGCACCCCAGGCTGTGTAAGACAGGTGCTGTGCAATTACCTTCGTGGCAATGACCATCCATACAGCTTCTAGTCATTTAGTGATGGGAGTCACGCCACCGCCTATGTTCTCACAGACATCTGTAATGAAGACAGATATCCGTAACATGCCTGGATCTTTAGGGGCTCCTGTACCTGTACCTCCCAGGGGCTCCTGTATCCATACCTTGGGGGCAAACTAGACCATACTGGTCCACCCTAAGGTAAGGGCAGAGGAATGGAGATAGCCCTGTTCTAGCTAATATAAGTTAAACATTCAAGTTATTTAATATTTCAGTGCTTTTCAAAGTACCCACTGGAGTAGCATCTAATTATCATTTTAAAAGTCTACTACCTAGACAGAACATAAAATGTAAAATGCCAGCAGTATATAATCTAATATCTTCCTCCATGGAAAAAACATTGTTACGATGTTCTCTTTTGCTCGCATTCCTGAGGGATCCGGGCATGAAAGATCATATAAATCCAAGCAGATATATCACTAGTACAAGGTATGGTTAATTTACATAGACATATACAAATGTTATCATTTGGGACAAATTTAGAGAAATACATAGAAAGAATAAAATGCATTTTAAATGTACCCCAAAATGTTAAAGCTCATAACAAATCCTCAGTCTACTCCAGCTCTTCTTGAATTTCCAGAATGTCTCAAAGGCAAACTTACCTGCAAGTCCTTCAGGAAAGACTCCGAAGTCACTCTCCTTTACTTCACCAGATGTGGAGTCCATCCCTATCAGGTTCCAACAATCTGCACTGCCTTCGTGTCTGAGGAGAGAAACCTCATAGTATTATTACATATGACATTCAGCCTTCCTGTTTCTTTGCTGTTGAAGATCAGGTCCTCCAGTAGCCAGTTCTGATGCAGAGTTTGAGGAACATGATGTTTCTGGAGGATGAACCCCCGTGAAAGTCGAGAGCAGGAGCAGGTTGGACTGAGGAAGCAATCAAACTGCAATGCAGCCACAACAAACGGAGCCAGGAGCTCTGGAGTGAGTACTGCCTGTGAGAATGGCCCCACCAGGGCCCGATGGCTGTGCCTCCACACACCTGTTCCACTCAGCCACCAGATGCAGCTCCAGGAAGGGAGTGACCTTGGGCAAGGTGGCTCTGGGAGAGAAGTAGGCCTGAAACAGCTGACAGCTGTAGGCTGTTTTGCTGACTACTGTAGGCTCCACAGGTGGACACTAAATCCTTCCTTGAAGGGATGTGTAAGTACCTCACACAGCTATTCTCCAACTCTCTCTTCAAGAGCCACACGGCTTTCTTACAATTCCCCAGAGAACTGTGTTCACCCTTATCTTGGAGTGGGTCCATGTGCCAGGAACACATTCCCCGCCCTTTTCACCTGGTGAAGTCCTGTGTGTTCCTCAGATCGCACCCACTCCTTTGGAACACTCACGTCACTTGTAAGTTGTGTAATGCCTTTCCTCCCCACTTAAAAACCCTCCATGAGAGCAGGGGTGGCTTTTTTGTGCCACTCTTCAGTGTTGAGTGATAATGCCAAGCACAGAGTGAACATTCCATGTATATTTGATGAGTGGATTAGTTACCTGGATATACCTGGTATTTTAGTTTGTGTTTCCCTAGAAGCAGACCCTAGAGCAAGGATATGAGTTCCAGCTCTTTATTTGAGAGGTGACTCAAGGACACATTAGTGGGTAGGTAGGGAAGTGAGACAAGGAAAGGCAGCCAATTCATTACCAATTACTAGTGTGGGCAATGAGCTTAATCCTGCTGGGGAAATCTGAAAACCAGCACTGAACATATGCCCTGAAGTTGTCCATTCAAAAATGAGTATGATTCCATTTACAGGAAATGTCCAGAATTGGCCAATTCATGGAGACAGCAAGTAGATTAGTGGTTGCCAGGGGATGGGGAAGGAGGAACTGGGAGTAGTAACCCCATAAGAGAAATGGAGGTTTTGCAGGGGCGGGGGGGGGGATAAAAATGTTGATAGTGATGATGGTTGTATGATATTGCAAATATATGAAAAGGAACTGAATTTTATACTTTGATACGAAGTTTATGTTATGTAAATTATATCTCAATAAAACAAATTACCATAAACAAATGAAGACACTGGGATCTTTATACACTAGCTCCATTTATTAGTCATGGGGGCTGGGGGCTGGGAGTGTTCATTTCTGCAGCAGGCACAGCCTGTCCCAGAACAGACAGAACAGGCTCTGAGACCAGGGCAAAGAGATACAGATACCAGCAGCCTGGAGGCATGATGCCTGAAATGGGAAGGATGAGGGGGTGTGGGTAGGGCACAGACAGGTAGGGCACTTAGTGAGGGACTGAGCTAGCAACCCACCTGGCATATTCTAAGATGAGCCATTCCATGGAGAAGGAGGACTTACTCAGAAACCTCCAGCTCTGAGAACATATTTTTCTAAATCTATTCTAAAACAGAGCAATGCATGAATGACATGTTTAGGAAATCCAATTATCTATAACCCCAAATCAAGTAAAGTTATGGAAAAAGAAAAGAACGGTGCTTTCAGTGGGAAGTGGGATTGTGATACATTGAATAATGACCCTCCTCCCCGCAAAAAAATAGAAATATGAAAAAAAATTTCATATTCTAATCCTGAGAACAAGTGAATATTCCCTTTTATGGGTAAAGGGACTTTGCAGGTATGACCAGGTTAAAGACTTTGAGATGGGAAATTATCCTGAATTACCTATAAGGGCCCAATGTACTCACATGGTCCTTGTAAGAGAGATGAAGGAGGACCAGAGGCAGAGAAAATGTTACAACAGAAACAGAGGTCATAGCAAAATGCTTTGAAGATGGAGAGAGGGGTCACTAGAAAGCAAAAAAGGTGACAATACAGATCCTCCCCCTCAGAGCTCTCAGAAGGAACCAATCCTGCCACCATCTAGACTTTAGCCCAGTAAAAATGATGGCAAAGTACAAATTGGCAGATACAAAATAGTTATGGGAATATAAAATACAGCTTAGGAACTATAGTCAATAATATTGTCATAACTATGTGTGATGTCAGGTGGGTACTAGACTTACCAGGGGATCACTCTGTAAATTACATAAATATCTAACCACTATGATGTACACCTGAAACTAATATAAAATAATATTGACTGTCAACTGTAATTGACAAATTTTTAAAAATAGTGATGATAAACTACTAACCTCCACAACTATAGTGTTTTATGCCACTGAATTTGTGGTAATTTGTTACAGTGGTAATAGGAAACTAATACAAGGATTGAGAGCACTTTCACAGAAAGGATGTTAAAAATAATGGTGACATCATTTCTTCCCCAGAATGCATTGCAAAATTTGGAATGGTCTTAAAATTACACAGAAAATAAAATAAAACACTTTGTGTCTTGATTTTTTGTTCAATATAATTAGTCCATTTTTTAATTATTTAAATATTATACTTATAGTTATCTTCATATGATTTCTTTTTATAATAATTAATACTACTTGAAAGTATTTGTTGTTTTTTATTGTAATAAATTGAATGTTATAATTTACTTTTTGCAGACTTTGGAGTTATAAATTACATCATGCCAAGTAAAAATTCTTACTAAAATGTTGACATATGAAAAAGTCAGTGGATAAATTCCCAGAAAACAACATGTCTACAACTCTAAAAGTACTGGAAAATTCATTAAATTAAATAGAAATATTCCTACTGTATAGCAGCAAATATGTGAACATTTTCAATGTGAGTTAAAGGGAGAGGGGAGAGGGCTGCCAGGTGTGAAGGCGAGTGTGTGGGGCCCTTGCAGCTGAGAATGGGACATAGGGTAAGATAAGGCCTGAAATCTAAGAAAAATTGGGGAGGAAGAAAGGGCAAGGGTTCAAAGAACATAAAATAAGTGAGATGTTCCAGGAATACCCAGTCAAAGGCTCAGGTACCTTATCTCTGATTCCAGCCTATTCTCCACATTATCACTAGATAATAGAAAACAAAATTCAATCATGTCATATCTCTGCTTAAAGCTCCCACCTTAGTAAGTACAAATAAAACAAAAAGCCAATGCACCATAATCTCGATGGCATGCAAAGCCCTTGCTGGCTGGATGCCAGCCTGCTGGTTCAACCTTATCGCCACCATGCCAATCATGCCAGACTCTCCACTGTTCCTGAAATGTCTCAGTATCTCTCATACCTCAGGGCCTTGGCAAATGCTATTTCCTTTGACTGGAATGTGTCTTTCTGGTTCTTACCACATATCGATTCATTCCAACCTAAATGTCTTCTCAGTGAAGTTTCTGCTAGAAGTCATTAATCATGGACCCTGACCAGCCCTCCTGTACATTTTGGCCAGGGATGCCAGGGACACAAAGCCCTGGGTACTCTTCACCCCAACCATCTCTGACAGCCACGCTTGCAGAGAGCAATCTTGAGGGCTGAAGGAGCATCTTGCTTGCCACTCACTATAGAAGCTTAGCATTCCTCTTCTGTAACACAACCTGTGGCATGTCCTGGCATGGGACCTGAGTGCACCATGGGACCTGGTGGGGTGGGGTGAGGTGCAAGGGGGCCTGCTACAGACATCATGTTGGCCCTGCCCACTGTGCTGTGAGTAGTAAAGTCATTTCTCCTTGGCCTAGGAGTCTCATGTCTTCTGTCAGCATCCATGAAATATTACCAGGCTGGCTTGTTAGCTTGCAAGTAGGGTAAAATCCCAGATTCCTCATAGACTTTGATATTTCCCCATCTCTCTAGACAAGGTCTGTGACCTCTTATATCTGTGATCTTATAATATTTTCTCAAAAAAATGTAATGTTCTTATATGAGGGCATGGGTTATGACATATAGGAGATGTTCAGAAAAAATGTTAATCAAATAAATAAAATATTTCCAGTTCACTAAAGGTATCTGCTCTGATAACTGCTCCATTTTCCCCTAACTAAAAGCGGGTTTATTTAAATGAAACTGACAAAATTAAACTGCTCTTTCATTGTCAGAGGAGAGTCTTCCTTAAATGACTAATGTTCTGAAAACCTTGGAGGATCCAAGACTGACAGCATTAGGCTCTTTCACTTTTTCCTCACGTCAATTAAATTTGGCCAGCATAATCCTGTTAACTGCTAGACTTTAAGAAAAATCAACTTTTAAAGTGTTCTTTCTCTAGTCCACAGTATATGTTTTCTTTCTTTCTTTTTTTTTTAAAGCATATGTTTTCTATTCTCAAGAATTCAAGGTTAACTCCACATTTCTAGATTTTGAGTAAGATTTTTTTTGACTGTTGTAAGCAGGGGAAATAAAGCCTTCATTAATTATTGAACTTTTTCCTAGTAATTTTATAACCTTTTTGCAGCCAGGAGGTATGGCAGTACATTAATAAGCGGAAAAAAAATAAATGAATAAACAGAATCTTACTGGGTTTTGAGATCATGAAAGGAAATTGAGAAAATGCAAAATAACTAACAGAAGCAGCTGTTAGAAAACCCAAAAGTGAAGACATTATAAAACAATAGACAGCTCTCTAGCCAAAGGCAATCAGTTGGCTTACAAGATAAAAGCCAGTTACCCCAGTAATGAGCTACACAAGAACCACATCCTTCCTCCTGTCCAAATGGTAGAGAAAGAAGGAATTACTTATTTTACTCAGTTCAAAACTAGCCAAACATTTGTATTTAGATAAAGACTAGAACAGTAAGTCTCTAATAGTTGAAATCAGATTTATATTGTTGAAATATGCATCTTATTTTTCAGATAGTCTGTGGGCTATGTTGAGTTCCTGATGGAAATGGACTCCTATTAAATGAAGGA